CCTTCCTTCCTTCCTTCCTTCCTTCCTTCCTTCCTTCCTTCCTTCCTATTTTTCTTTCCTTCCTTCTTTTTTCCTTCCTACCTTCCTATTTTTCCTTCCCTCCTTCCTTCCACCCACCCACCTTTCTTTCTTTCCTTCCTTCCTTTCTTCCACCCACCTTTCTTCCTTCCTTCCTTCCTTCTTATTTTTCCTTTCTATTTTTCCTATCTTCCTTCCTTCCCTCCTTCCTTCCACCCACCCACCCACCCACCCACCTTTCTTTCTTTCTTTCCTTCCTTTCTTCCACCTACCTTTCTCTCTCTCTCTTTCTTTCTTTCTTTCTTTCTTTCTTTCTTTCTTTCTTTCTTTCTTTCTTTCTTTCTTCCTTCCTTCCTTCCTTCCTTCCTTCCTTCCTTCCTTCCTTCCTTCCTTCCTTCCTTCCTTCCTTCCTTCCTTCTTTGCTTCCTCTTTTTTTAAAACAAGGATTTCCAGCATTTCCAAGTTGCTGGACAAAGTTTTTCAAGGCAGAGGGAAAAGGCCGCATGTTACGTTTCTCTCCTTCCTCAGGTGCCTTCAGGGTTGGAGGTCTGGACCTCCCCCAGTTGAAACGGGCCACAACAAAACTAACAAAATAAAACAGGCACTGCCTGCTGAAAGCCTTGGGATTATGCATCTTTTTCTTAAAACCAACGCCTTTCAATGAGTTCCCCCTCTAAAATAAACCTTCATTTTCTTAGCGTTTTTGAGTAGGGAAGTGTTTGAGAAGAGAGACAGAGAAGTCAGCTGGAGGCTATGGAGTGCTCCTAAGTGCTAGACTCTTGAAGTGTTTTTATAAATTGGAGGTGTTACCTTGGGTCTGTTATCTCATTTTGGGTTGTGAATGCAAACTCTGGATTTTCTTGGTGGGGTGTTGAAAGTTATGATTGTGAGCTGAAGCCGCCCTTTGATTGAGGAATGTTGAGCAATGGAGAGGGAGGGAGGGAGGGAGAGGGAGGAAAGGACAGAGTGGGAAGGAGGGAGGGAAGAGGAGAAGGAGGGATGGAGAGAAGGAGGGGGAGGGAGAAGAGAAGGAGAGAGGGGGGATAGAGAGGGAGGGAGAGAAGGAGAGGGGAGGGAGGGAGGGAGAGAATGATTTAACTGCTTTTATTTTAATCTAGAGCTGTGTTTCTCAACCTTGGTAACTTTAAGATGGGTAGACTTCAATTCCAAGAATTCCGCACCCAGCTGAGGAATTCTGGGAGTTGAAGTCCACCCATCTGAAAATCAACAAGATGAAGAAACTCTGAATTAGAGAAAAGACACCTGTATACTTATGATAGCACACAATCAGGATTTGCAAGAATCAACACCCTGACCATTCATTTTATAATGAAGAAGTGGTTCTTTATTATTTGTTATTATTATTTTATTTTTGACAATTCTCCGATGTGCTGGATTAGTGGTAAGTTCTGGAGATATCAAAGCAGCTGTCATTTTAAATTCAGTGGCAGAGTTGACTTCCCATGGTGGAACAGAACCAGATCACCAATGCTGCTGAATCTATCGTGTCCTGTGCCGGAGAAGGTGGGAACCCTCATCACCAACCACCAAGGACCACCGAGAGTTTATTTTGGGGATACCCACACATATATATGTATATACTTTTAAGAAGAATTCTGCCTCTCATCTCCAGAAATGTTAACCATCAAGTTGCCTCAAATCTTCAGGATCCATCAAGTACCTCGGGTGAGTAACAGAATACAGAATAACAGTGTTGAAAGGGACCTCAGAGGACTTCTAGTCCAACCCTTTGCTCAAGCAGGAGACCCTCTACCATTTCAGACAAGTGGCTGTCCAGTCTCTTCTTAAAAGCCTCCAGTGATGAAGCCCATACAACTTCTGAAGGCAACTTCTGTTCCACTGGTTAATTGTCTTTATAGAGTGGTATTAGTACCTCCCTTGATCTTGATTATATCCCTCTATTAATGCAACTTAGGATTGCATTCATTTTTTTGGCTGCCTCTGCATACTGCTGGTTCACATTTAACTGGTTGTCCACTAAAACTTAAAAGATCCGACTTCCTCTTCCTATTAGGAATAATCAAGGATCAATACCCAAAAGAGATAAAATATATTATTTTACACATCCTAATGGCAGCCAGGATAGCTTTTGCCCAAATGTAGAAAGGACCCAACACTCCCACAGAGTCCTACACAAAATATTGGAATGTGCGGAAATGGATATGCTTACTTGAGAAATGAAAGAGAAGGAGAACTCCGAATACTACTGAATTTGGCATAAATGGTATAAATGGTTAGAGAATAGATACAAGAAATAAGAGGAATGGAATAGTGTAATTACTATAAGTGACTTCAAGAGAATGATACGGTAGACACATAAAATATATAAGTATAGAGATAAGTATAAATAGAGATAACAGTTATTGGTTGATGTATATAAAACATAATATGATTTATAAGATAATTATATTTGTCGATGTCAAAATGCTGTTATAAACGTGAATATGATTTGTATTGATAGAAAATATAATAAAAATCTATTTTTTTAAAAAAATGTAAAAGATCCATCTCAGAGTTACTGCTGTTAAGCCTGGTGGAACACTACTGGAAAGCTGCTCTCCTGTCCCCCCTGGTCCTTCTCTTCACTAGACTAGCCAGGCCCAGTTCCTGTAACCGTTCTTCATATGTTTTAGCCTCCAGTCCCCTCATCATCCTAGTTGCTCTTCTCTGCACTTTTTCTAGAGTCTCAACATCTTTTTTATAATGTGGTGATCAAAACTGGATGCAGTACTAAGGCTTTATAGAGTAGTATTAGTACCTCACTTGATCTTGATTGTATCCCTCTATTAATACAACTTAGGACTGCAATGGCTTTTTTGGCTGCTGCTGCACACTGCTGGCTCCTATTTAGCTGGTTGTCCACTAAGACTCCAAGATCCCTCTCACAGCTACTGCTATTGAGCCTGGTTTCACCCAGTCTATATGTGTACTTTTGGTTTTTCTTGCCTAATGTAGGACTTTATCCTTCTTTACATTTAATTTCATTTTGTTAGATAGGGCCCAGTGTTCTAGTCTGTCAAGATCCATCTGGATCTTGAGCCTATCTTCTTGGGTGTTAGCTATTCCTGCCAGCTTAGTATCATCTGCAAATATGGTAAGTTTCCCTTCTATTCCCACACATAAGTCATGAACATATTGAAGAGTCCTGGGCCTAAGACGGAACCTTGTGGCACCCCACTGCTTACTTCCCTCCACGTATTCATAGACCCATTAAGGACTACTCGTTAAGTACAGTTTGCCAGCCAGTTGCAAATCCATCTGGTGGGGATGCTATCTATCCCACTTTTTCTAGCTTCCCAAGAAGTAGGTTGTGGTCTACTTTGTCGAATGCCTTGCCGAAGTCTAAGTATATTATTCTTGGATGAGAAGAAGAAAAATCAAAGAAGTCCAGTTGTCTTTCGGAAAATAATTTTTGTATTACCACTTTTTGTTATGTTATAAGGTATTGTAAAAATACAAAATGCAAATAAGAGGACAGTGAGGGGGAAGGGGAAAGGAGAAAAGAAAAGTGAGGAAGGATAGGGAAAGAAAAAGGAAAGGAAACATTGACTTCCTACTCTCTCTGCTGCAATAGAATAAGATATTGACATCAAATCACAGCTTTTTGCTTTTCTACAATACTATGAACAAGTCATTTCTATAAAGATCTATCAGTCTAATCTGTAAAACCCAACATTGAAGTTTCATTCTCTCCCACATCCAGCACGAAGTTCAGAAGTGGTTTCCATGTGAAAACAAAAGTACTTATGCTCTTTTCTTTGATCAAGGTAATCAGCTTTGTGTTTTGACCTAAACTTCCCCAACAGCGCAGAGCTGGCTCTTCATCCCGATAAACCCGTTTTATTTAGTTTACAGTGAATTCCTCTCCAGCAAAGTCCCAGCCAACAGCCTTTCAAGATGTTTCAAAATTATAGACCTTTATCAGACTTGGAGAGTTGCCAGGCCGATATCTTTCAGATGTCACACTGTAGCAGAAAATATTTGGCAAGAATGCAGGAACAGATCTTCACCCAAATGAACTAATTGTCTCCTGCAAAACCCCACTCCCCTTTCACTCCTCTTTTATTCCCTATGAGAGGGGCTATTCACTGTCCACCTGTGGCTTTACTCCTGAGTTGACCCTTGTTCCTCAGCTGTTCCCTTCTCCTGGCAGCTCTGTGCATGCGCACACTGGGAACAGGCTCCAGCTGTTCTTCTGCCCCACTGATCTCTGACTCTGAAGGCAGCTGATAACTGCTAGACGGCCCTGGTCCCATCTCTGCCTCTGATGCAGAGCTCTTGTCAGAGTCTTCCCCTGACTCCAGGACTGGCCCACGTTCCTCCCCAACCTCCTCACTGTCCGAGTCTGCCACCAGCTCCGCTGGCCTCCGGCGGGCCATAACATTTTGTGCCATTTCAACCATCTCCATCCACTATGTAACCATTCTTCCATAGCAGGCATTTTTGAACAACCATGGATGGTTGAGACTCTCCATAGATATTCCCTTAAAAACGGCAGTGATTCACTTCCACAATGGTGGCAGCAAAAGCGCATAAACTGGGCAGGGTTCACTGAACAACTGTCTTGCTTAGCAGTGGAAATTCTGGCTCAAATTTTGGCCATAAGGTGAGGACTTCCTGCACATGGAAGGCACCAAAGGTTGATGGTTTTCCAGAGCGCCTAGGTGTGAAATTATGCAGTGTGGCAAAAGCTGTATTCGGATCAGGGATGTGAGGTGCCCAACTCCTAACCCCGAGACGGAGGCAGCTGTGATTATGTACCTGAAAAAGAACCAGGATCAAAGCAGTTAAGAATAACAATAATTTTTGAAGGAAATTGGCTTTAGGAGTAGAGTTTGTCAGTGATTCCTGAATGAGGCAGTGAACTCATTTAAAGGAAATATTATAGCTAGCCAGATGTCACCATCTTCTCTGCCAGGTTAAGCTCTCTTGCAGCCTCAAATACCTTTGTCTGAAGTGGTACAGGGTCTGAGCAGGTGGTTGGACTAGAAGACCACCACGGTCCCATTCAGCTCAATTATTTGGAGGAGGAGGAGTGGGAGGGAAGAGGAGGAGAAGGAGAGAAGGGTTAGACTAGAAGGCCTCCAAGTTAGACTAGAAAACCTAGTATGGTGAGGAGAAGGACAATGGAGAAGGAGAAGGAGCAGGAGAGAAGGATCTCCTGCTTGAGCAGGGGTTGGACTAGAAGACCTCCATGGTCTCTTCCAACTCTATTATTTGGAGAAGGAGAAGCGTAGGGGGAGGAAGAGGAGGAGGAGATGACAAGGGTCTTCTGCTTGAGTAGGGCATTGGACTACAAGACCTCCAAGGTTCCTCCCAACATTATGGGGGAGGAGGAGGAGGAGGAGGAGGAGGAGAGAAGGGTTGGACTAGAAGGTCTCCAAGTTAGACTAGAAAACCTAGTATGCTGAGGAGAAGGACAATGGAGGAGGAGAAGAAGCAGAAGAGAAGGATCTCCTGCTTGAGCAGGGGTTGGATTAGAGGACCTCCCAGGTGCCTTCCAACTCTTCTGCTTTTCTGTTAAATTTGAGGACAGTTGAGCCTCAACGAAGACTCCCACTGTCAGGGCTCCCAGAAGGTGGTGCTCCATTCAAAATCCAAGAAAGACACTCTTAGACTCCATTAATATAGAGAAAATAACTTTTTACTGGAATTCAAGTGGTAGCATCAAAGTAATTCTAGATCTGAGGAATTATGCGCAAAAAACACATATCCAAAGTGATGGGAACATTCCCACCCACCATAGTTCAAGCAGTCCATCCAATTGAAGATATGTATACTGTCATGTGGGGCATCTTCAGGTGGTGATGCAGACACCTGGCCCTTGACCTTGGCCTATTTTGGTAAGGAACCGCAGTTGCTCAGTAAGCAAGCAAATAAGCATAAAAAATAAAAGTTTTTTTCCCCAAGTTATTTAGTTCATTCTCTAAAACCTCCAGCACGCTTCCCACTTTCACAAAGCTCAATTGATTGACCCTCCCCCTCCCCGTTACTATGGCAGCCGAAAAGATAGCAAGAGAAAGGAAAGGAGTCTTGAAGGCTGACACATGGGGACTGTAATCCCAACGTTTTTGGATCTCTCGCTTTTTATCTCACAGATTTTCTGGGAAGAAGGTATCATGTCGGGGTACCGACACCCCAAAAGTTCTGCCTTGGATTGCGTCCTCAGCTCCTTCCAACTGAACAATGAAACTGTCAATATTTGGACTCACTTCCTTCCAACTTGGTAAGTTTGTGGATTTTTAGCCCCAATTCAGGGGTTGGTTGGTACCTGCTTGTTCGTCTTATCTCCTGTTCCCACTCCTCCTCCTCCTCCTCCTCCTCCTCCTCCTCCAGGTGATTCTCTTCCTGGAGGACTTATGGCTAACCCTCAACTTGCAACATTCGTTTAGTGACCATTCAAAATTGGAAAAGGGAGGAGATCCCTATAGATGAGAATGTGCTTAGGAAAATATTAGAATGTGCAGAAATGAACAGATTAACGCTTGCTATAAAGGAAAAAGAACACACCGAGTCTTACGTGACATGGGAGCTATTTTATAGATTTTTGGAGAATAAAAATAGAAGTGAGAAAAATAAATAGAGATTAAGGAAATAAAGAATATATGTTTAAGATAGAGATGTAAACAATATGATGATAATTATATATGATTGTTAAGATTGCCATTACCTAATATAATATTTTCATCAGAAGATATGTTAAGAGGGTTGAAATGAATAGAGTTATAATGCTGATTATTAATATTGTAAGATTAGCTCAATACCCATGCTTCGCAATGAAACTATGTGATGGGGCTTAGTTTTGGGGAAGGAAAATAAGGGTGGGGGATTCTGCCTCTGCCTACCAGTATCCATCGGTATTCATCTGGCGAGTGTCCTGTCGGTGTGCGAGAGAGTTGAGGGCTGTTTGGAAACTGAAACAGTATTTGCTGTGTGAGCAAGGAGACAGCAAGGAGCCTGGGCGTGGCTTAGCTCAACTGCTCTGGACTAAAGCTGCTTGGTGCTCTGAAACTGAAACTCCTCTGCTTGTGCTTTGCATTTGGAAGAGATTTCTTTTCAGGTGGTGTGGGTGAGTAGAACTCCTTAGCATCAGAGCGTGTTAATAATAATAATAATAATATAGGAAATACTAATGCTCTGATGGTCATTTGGAAAAATCCTTTCTTAGTGAGCACTTAGAAGTCAAGATTTCAAGTTTGTAGGCTTTACGGTTCTGGAAATGTTGTGATGATGCCTGAGTGGTATTTCTCTTTTATATAGAGAGAGAATTATTATCAATGTAATGAATATTGTAAATATTGATTGTAGTAGCCCAGAGACATCTGTACCCAGACAATCAACTGTTTAATGGAAGATGATATGTTCAAGTTAAAAAAATAAAAATATATATATTAAAAAAACCCAAAGTTACAATGGCACAGCCCTGGAAAAAGTGACCCTTTTTCATGCTTACAACCATTGCCCGTGATCAAAATTCAGGCTCTTCCTCATCCAAATCTTGGCGCATCTTGGTGGGCGTGGCAGGGGAAGGATACTGCAAAATCCCCATTCCATCCCCACCCCACTAGCCTGCTTTCCAGCTCCGTTCTCCTGTGCAGGGCAACCAAAGAAGACCCAGCCGATCAGCTGGGACTCAGGAGGCGAAGAATAGATGGGGGTGGTGGTCAGTGGTGGGATTGGCCGGTTCTCTGAACTACTCAAAATGTCTGCTACTGGCTCTCCAGAACTGGTCAGAACGGCTGAATACCACCCTCTGATCACATATGTATTTTTAGTCCAATATTTTTTCTGCATTGTTGGATGGGTCAGTTCAGCGGCCGAAGGGGAGTCACAGCATTGATAGCCTTTCTCCCCTTCCAGGTACTTTTTATGGCGCTTTGTGATGCTCTCCTATCGCTTGGACTTCTGGAGCGACACCTACAGCTGGCCATTCCTGGCCTACATGTCTCTGGTCTGCCTCTATCCCTTCACGTCCAGCTGTGCTCACACCTTCAGCACCATGTCCACCCATGCGCGACACATCTGCTATTTCCTGGACTACAATGCCCTCAGCCTTTATAGTTTGGGTAAGGGGCTTGTGGTTTTAAGGCTGACCTTCTTCCTGTTGTCTCCTTTCCTTGGGGGGGATGTTACCAAATGCCAAATTTGCTGGGGCATTCTGGAAGCTACAGATGAGTGGTGCGGGGGCCAAGTGGTAGAGCTCTCGCCTCACAATCAGGAGGCTGTGAGTTTCAGCCTAGGTAGTTCTCTCTCTGGGCACATTGAGAATATATCTGCTGGGGGGGGGGGCGAAACTCAGCACTGGCGACAGGAAGGCATCCGGTCAGTAAATACGGAGCTCCATTCAATTGCCCAGACTCCATCCCGTAAGGGATTATGGGGTCATTAAAAGATTATTATTAGGAGTAGGAGGAGGAGTAGGAGTAGGAGTAGTCTTAGTCTTAGTATTGTTATTGTTGTTGTTATTATTGTGATGATGATGATGATGGAAGCTGCAGCTTCAAAGTTTCTTGGGAGGTACCAGGTTGGGGAAGAGAATGAACCAGAGTTTCTAAATTTTACGTGAACTTCAACTCCCAGAATTCCTCCACCAGTGAGCTTTAATAGAGATGGACTTCAACTCTCAGGACAGGGAACCAACCGCAAAGTATTTCACAATTCTGAGCCTTGAGTCATGGAGGCAGGATTAGAAGCCCCCTCCCTCCTAACCGTGTCCTTGTGTGTGTTTCAGGCTGTGCGTTCACATATGGCGCCTACGCCATGCCGGATCGTTGGGTCAACAGCCTGGGGCATCACTGCTTTGTCCCCATGGCTGCCATAAATTCTTTGATCTGCACCAGCCTTTCGTGCTATTCTCGGTAGGTATTTCAGAATAACAGAGTTGAATGGGAGCTTGGAGGTCTCCTAGTCCAACCCACCCCACCTGCTCAAGCAGGCGGAGACCCTGTACCATTACAGAAACAAATGACTTTCCAATCTCTTCTTAAATACCTCCAGCGATGAAGCAGCCACAACCACTGGAGGCAAGTTGTTCCCCGGGTTAGTTGTTCTCATTGCAAGAAATTTCTTCTTCCTCTCCTCCTCCTTCCCCTCCTCCTGCTTTTCCTGCTCTTCCTCTTCCTCCTTTCCTCCTACTCCTCCCCCTCTTCTTTCTTTTCCTCTTCTTCCTCCTCTTCCTCCTCTTCTCCTCCTCCTTCCCCTCTCTCTCTTCCTCCTCCTCACTCTCTAGGTTCCTAGAGCTGGGCTGGCCCCGCTGGAGTAAGACTATCCGGACAGCTGCCTTCGTCTACCCGTTCTTCTTCGACAACATCCCACTCTTCTTCAGGGTAGGCGCCAGAGGGGAGAGGGGAGAAGGGACGCTGGGCAGGGCTGTGGGTCCCTTGGTGGGATTCAGTTTGGTAGACATGGTGTGGCTTGGTGGATGTGGCTTGGTGAGTGTGGCAGGGGAAAGATATTGCAAAATCCCCCTTTCCTCCCCACCCCCCTAACCTGCTTTCCAGTTCTGTTTTCCTGTGCAGGGCAACCAAAGAAGACCCAGCCAATCAGCTGGGACTCAATGGGAGTCAGAGAAGAGATGGGGCAGGGCCAGTCAGAGGTGGGACTGGCTGGTTCTCTGAACTACTCAACGTTGCTGCTCCCGTTTCTTGAGAACTGGCCCGAACCGGCTGAATACCACCTCTGCATCAGAAGGATCAGCCGTAGTTTAGCCCACACTGCCAAATTGGGGGACATCTCTGGAAATATTGAGGATGGGCTTCATTGAGGGAGGGTGTTTTTCTTTGCAAAATGGTTTACCCCTCAAAGAGAGAGGAGCTTTTCTGCAGGAAGGCAGGCTGTATGGGGAGGGGGGATGGCCTTGGAAGACTCGGTGTTCTGACCAAAGCTTCCTGAGACAGTAACAATCACAGGCTGTTCCCCAAAACCCTTTTTTATTAATTTAAACGGCTGTGAATTATATGCATTCACAGCCCATCATGAGTCCCAACTTGTTTATGAATAGTCCAACAGAAGTCTGCCACAGTCCTTCGGGATAAGGCTGATAATCACCCACCTTTATTTCCCTTGAAAGGCTGCCAATTGCCAATTAGCTGTACAAAGCCAAAGTCAACATGAAGCTGCAGAGTTTAAACCGACCAGAATGAACAAAGTTGCTTCCCACAAAGGTTCCTGTCCTTTTGCTCCTCCTTTATGTCTTATGGGAAGGGGCCAATCATCTCCAAGCCTTACTCCCAAGTCACCCCTTTTGTCTTAACTGTTCTTGCCTTCTGGCAGCTCTGAGCAAGTGCGCACTGGGAACAGGCTCCCCCTTTTCCTCTGCCTTGCTGCTGTCAGATTCTGGAGGCTTTGGAGTCAGCACATAACTCTCAGACGGCCCTGGCCCCATCTCTGCTTTGGACACAGGACCATTGTTTGAGTCCCAGACTCCAGAACTGGCCCATGTTCCTCCCCACTGTCCGATTCTGCTGCCAGCTCCGCAGGCTGCTGGTGGACCACAACACTCAGAGGGGAAGAGATGCTGCTTGGGGTATGGCTAGATAAGCAGACGCCCAGCCCTCAGCTGCTCAATGGGAGGAAAGAACGGCTATCGGGGAGATTTGCACAGTTGGTCCTCGACGTACCGCCGCAATCGAGCCCAAAATTTCTCTTGCTAAGCGAGACACTGGCTAAGTGAGTTTTGCCCCTTTTTACAACTTGTCTTGCCCTCCGTTGTTAAGTAAATCACTGCAGGGGTGTCTAAGTTAGCAACCCGGTTGTTCAGCGAATCTGGCTTCTCCACTGACTCTGCTTGTGAGAAGGTTCCAAAAGGGGACCTGGGGGATGCTACACAGGTTGTAACTCTGACAAACAGTCCCCATTTTTCAGTGCTGTTGTAACTTTGGACTAAATGAACTTCTGTAAGTCGAGGACCGCCTTTGTTTTGGTCTTGTCCAGGCAGAGTTCCATTCTGCTTTCAAATTACAAGCAAATGTTGATGCAATTCTAGAGAATAAACACTATGGTTAAAGATTTATTTATTTAAATAATATTTAAAGACGAGTAGGTGTTAAATACTACTCCAGAAATACGAAATCGGACGGTCTGTCAGGAGTTTTGGCAATTGGGAGTAAAGTGACTTTCCATCTTGTCGTAAGCATCACTGTGCTGGTCCCATCGTCCATGGTCTGGGTGGCTGGGGAGGATGAGCTCTGCTGTACTCTGATTCCACTTTTGAGGGCCAACTCATGGTGGTTTCCTTTCCTTTCCAGCTTTTGTTCTGTTTTGGCGATGATTGTACGTGGAACGACTCTGTGGCTAGTTATTTCTACCACCTGTTCTTTGCCCTGCTCACCGGCTTCCTTTTCGCGTCGCATCTGCCAGAACGGCTGGCTCCCGGTCGCTTCGATTTCATCGGTAAGCAAGGATAGGTGCGTTTATGAAGCGTTTCTGAAGCCAGAAAGCTGATGGGTTTGTCTGTTTGTTAGTATCCCACCTATATTATTTTTACAAACCAGGTAGTCCTTGACTTATGACCACAATGGTGCCCAATATTTCTGTTGCTAAGCGAGACAGTTAAGTGAGTTTTGCCCCATTTTATGACTTTTCTTGCCACAGTTGTTAAGTGAATCAGTGCAGTTGTTAAGTTAGTAAACCTGTTGTTAAGTGAATCTGGCTTCCCCATAGACTCAAATATTTATTTATTAGGAGGTCGGCAGCCCCAGCAAAAAGTTTGTCTCTCACCGCAGGCTAACAAGTCCATCCATCTGGGCGGTGAATAGTTGTCTACCACATTTATTCATCTCCGCCCCCTGCCTTTGATCCCCAGAGCTCGGATGGGGCTTCGCTAACAGCGGTGGCTCTTCCGTCCCAAGGACCGTCTCATAGATTTCCACTGCTCTCCTCTCCTCTGCCTCTGTGCATCCAAGTGTCAGGCACTGAGCCCAGCTGTTCCTCCTCTTCCTCATCAGCCACCTCCAGACCTGTGGGCTGTTGACTCTCTGTCTGAGAGTTGACGGACGGCCCAGGCTCCGCCTCGGCTAGCTCCATTCCTTCTTCCCCCTCGGAGCTCTCAGGTTGCCCTGATGCTGACCTTGACTCCCACTCTGCCTCCTCCTCCTCCTCCTCCTCTGATTTGGCTGCTGTGGGGGGCGGGGCAGCAGCCAATGGGCCACAACAGGTCTCTTCCAACTTTACTATTTTTTAAAATAGTGTTCATTCCTCTCCGTGTCCTCTTCTCATTCTTCATCACTGGAAGCTTTGAAGAAGAGACTAGGCAGCCGTCCATCAAAAATGGTGTAGGCAGGGTCTCCTGCTTGAGTGGGTGGGGGGTTGGACTAGATGACCTACAAGGTCCCTTCCAGCTCCGTTATTCTGTTATTCTCCCCCACCCCTCTTCTCCCCCATCTCTAGGCCATAGCCACCAGCTGTTCCACATCTGTGCCGTGGTGGGCACTCATTTCCAGTTGGAAGCCATCCTGGGTGACATGAACTCTCGGCGGGCATGGCTGAGCGCCCACAGCCCACTGGCCACATTCACCCGTACTTTCGTCATTCTGGGTGCCACCTTGCTGGGCAACCTCCTCCTCTTTGCTGCCTTCACCGTGGCCCTCTTCCGCTTACCAGGTTCCATCCGGATCCTGCAGGGCAGCCTTCTCGAGCCGGAAGGACCCAAGGAGAAGTAGCTGCTGAGGGGGACGGGACCCCCACCACATTGGCATGTCTGGACTGGCGGGTCCTGCCAACTCACTGGTGATGCCTTCATACCTGAAGATCGCCTGGGCGTGGAGGGAAATGGAGCCCTGGGTGAGAAAGGGCCGAAATGGAGCAGAATGTTGGACTCCATTGTCATCGTAAGTCGAGGACTAACTGTGACTGTATTTCCCTGTGTTGTTGGCAAAGGCCTGCCAAGCAGGAGAGAAGGTGGGCTCCAATTTTGCCGGGCAAGGGAGTGTTGAGTTCAGTTCCTGCCCAGTTCAATAATTCCAGGCTAAAGTTAGGGCTGCCCATGCATTGTTGTGGCCCGCCAGTGGCCAGCACAGCTGGCGGAAGACTCAGTGAGGAGGTTGGGGAGGAACGTGGCCCAGTCCTGGAGTCTGGGGAAGGCTCTGACGAGGGTTCTGCATCGGAGGCAGATATGGGGCCAGGGCCATCCGACAGTTTTCAGCTGCCTTCAGAGTCAGAGACCAGCAGGGCAGAAGAACAGCTGGAGCCTGTTCCCAATGTGTTCATGCACAGAGCTGCCAGAAGAAGAGAACAGTCTTCAGCTGTTCTTCTGCCCCACTTATCTCTGACTCCAAAGGCAGCTGATAATGTCAGATGGCCTGGCCCCATATTTGCCTTTGATACAGACCTCTCATCAGAGCCTCCTCCAGACTCCAGGACTGGTTCATGTTCCTCCCCACAACATGCGTAAGGGAAATCATCTCGGAAAAAAGCCAAGGAGATGGTAGCAAAGAGATGCTTGGAAGCTGCCCCAACAGATGGACCAAGTATGTAGCAAATATGGCTGGACGGTTGAGGCAGGTTGTAGAGAAATCTGGAAGAAAAAGGCATCTCCAGGTCGGTCTTACCTTCGATCGTTGGATCAAGGGAGCCAACCATTGTCTAGAGCAGGGGTCTCCAACCTTGGCCCCTTGAAGACTTGTGGACTTCAACTCCCAGAATTCCTCAGCCAGCTTTG